CTTTCTCCCGTCCAGATATGGTCCTGCACTTCCTTAGCCGCTCTTTCTCTTTCCTTTGTCTCTCTGCAGAAGGGGGTCCCTCCCCTCCGTGCCCACGTGGCCTTTTTTTAATCTCCCCCAAGTCAGCAGTTACCCACCTATCTTTTTTCCAGCTTTCCCATTTTCTTCCTAGCAGATTCATTCTCTTTACCTCCCAGGCTCTGGTGTTCAAAGTCCTTTGGCTTTTACACTTCTTTGAGAGAGGGGGGGAGTATGAATTCCCCCTACTTCGCCACCATGTTGGCCCCTGCTCCTGCTTTCTTTACATGCTTACTATAATTCAGTCAGTTATCATGCTACATGCTGGGGAAGAAACGATAAGATACTGTCCTTGTCCTAAAAGGGCTTATACTCTAGAGGAAGAGACAGATACCTAATAGACTCACCTCAAAGAGTTTGTAAGTACAATGATGAAAAATTACCTGGTGTGTTTTATATGCATTATGAAGAGACATATAGTGCAACCTGGGAATGTTGGGAAGACTTTCTGGTGGAAGTGACGTCTCAATTGAATCTTAACAAAAGAATAGGTATTTGATAGGTATAGCTACATATTCAACATCTAATAAGTTGTAGTGGTAGGATACGTGTGAGCTATTTTATACAAAATACTTTCTCTTCCTTCAGCTAATGAATTCAGCTGAATCACTAAAATATTAGTGCTGAATTAAGTCCAAACTGTGGTGGATTGTTCAAATCTGTCATTAGTAGCTTCCCAAGTAGATTTTCTGATTCTGTTCCCACCTTTTTTAAGTTCCTGTACTCATCTTGAAGTATAGTGCTGTCCAGTTGCCCAAGAATACTTTCAAAAACATACCTTTTGGTCTTCAGGTGAAGGTTTTCTTCCTTCTTTAGGCTACAGCATTTTAAAAACATTTGCACTTTAATTATTTAATTGATTGTTTTGGACTTAGTGGGATATAAACACAAAGAAACTTTATTTTTTTTCACCATTTCTACTTCACACACTTTCTGGTGTTCTATTTGTTTCCATCTGTGGATAATATCTTGGGCCACTGTGATAGCTTTTCTGGTTACTTTTAGTATTAATACAGGGTTCTCTTGTCCAGATATTGGAAATTGTAGTATAGTTTAAAAGCAAAATTTTAATCTTTTATCCAAATTAAAACTTATTTCTCAAGACTGTGTCTGACTCAGACTTGATGTACTACTTTTCCTCTGCCCTTTTATTCCTTTTCTCCCACATGACTACACTGCCTCTGGTTACTCTAGGTTTCAGGTGGGAGAAAAATAAAGGTGAAAAGCTTTTCCTTGAGTGGTATTGTTGCCCTATTGTTTAGCAGAAATTTGTATGTTGATTTTTCTCTCATGGAGTGTTTCCTTTTTTGGTGGGGGCAGAGCTCCCTAAACTGTAGTTACCTGATGTATGTAGTGCTTCATTGATTGGCTACTTATGACTTCTTTCATCCCTGGATTCTGGTGACCCACTCCATATAGACTCACATTTGGGGTGGCCTTATTCTCCAAGTTGTGCTTTGGGGTGAAAACCCTTTCAAGATTGGTCCAAGTTGAAATGACAAAAGGCATTTTATGTGTTATATGCCTGGGTGGCTCAGTTGGTTGAGCATTTGACTCTTGATTTCAGCTCAGGTCATGATCTCATGATCATGGAATCAAGCCCCATGTTCAGTTTTGCACTGAGCATGGAGACTGCTTGGGTTTCTCTTTCTCTCCTTCTCTCTCTGTCCCTCCTCTCCTTGCAAGTTCTCTCTCTCAAAATAAATAAATAAACACTAAACATTTTTTTTTAAAAGTGAAGCATTATACAGCCTTGTAAGCAAATAACCAATTTGATTCATATCTCTTAACCAAGTTGTGTGGACAGAGATTGTACACTGAAAAAATCAAAACCTTCCTGGAGGTAAATATTGAGATTTTTAAGAGTTATTTTTTTCTCTGTGTTGGGTGGCAATCTCTTTCTATGGAAACAGATTCATGAAACTAAAAGCACATCCAAATATGACTAAATACATGAATTTTGTTTTGTACCACAGGACCATTATGGTTATGAATAAAGTCAAATCAGTTTGGATTGGAAGAAAAGAGTTACTGTTCCACTTTCAGAAAAAGAGTCATTGTTTCTCACAAAACCTTTTCATGAGGGTTGGATGATTCTTATTCCACAAATGACCTGACGGAGGGCAAATTTCATTTCCCTATTGCGTAAGCTATAGATGAGGGGGTTTAAGACTGGTGTCACTACAGAGTATATCAGTGTGATGATCTTATACATAGCAACTGAGTTGCCAGATGTAGGACTCACATACATCACCATTATGGTTCCATAGAATAGAGACACCACAGCTAAGTGGGATCCACAGGTAGAGAAGGCCTTTTGCCGCCCAGCTGAAGAAGGAACCTGAAGCACAGCTCTGAGCACTAAGGCATAGGACCCAATAATGTACAAAATGGTGAGAATGATGATAAGAGAGCTCACAAAGTGGAATACATACTCTATGATTGGTGTGGGGGCACAGGACAATGCCATCAGTGGGTCCACATCACACAGGAAGTGATCAATAATGTTGGGACCACAAAAGGGTAGTTGAGAAATGAAGAAAATAGTAATTGCATGTCCAAGGAAACCAATGAGCCAACAAAGACACACCAGAATGACACAGAGCTTCCTGGTCATAATGGAGGGATAGTGCAGTGGACGGCAGATGGCCAGGTACCGATCATAGGCCATGACACAGAGGAAGAAGCACTCAGTTGTGCCCAGGGAAAAGAAGAAGTAGAATTGAGTGAAGCAGCCAGAGAATGATATGGTCTTAGTTTTGGAAAGAAAATTGACCAGCATGTTGGGGACTGTGCAGGTCACATACCAGATCTCTAGAAAGGAGAAGTTGGCCAGGAGCACATACATAGGTGTATGGAGTCGATGGTCCCACCTCACTGCACAAATGATGGCCATATTCCCAGTCAGAGTCAAGATGTAGACCAACAAAACCATTGAGAAAAGGATGATCTGTATTTTCCAGGGACCAGGAAAACCCAACAAGACAAACTGTGTCACAGTAGATATCCCTGACTTATTCATGGCCCCCAGACTGTGGAGAGAAGACAGATAATGACAAGTCACTTTTTCTGCTGAGACATTTGAAACTTTTCTTAGGATAGGCAGTTTGATGCAGGAAAGTGTACTGAATATTCTAAAACAAGTTTTGAATAAGTCCTGCTCTATTCTGAGTGAGCTCTTTGGCCCTGATTTTTTTGTAAATGTACAATTCTAAGCTACTTGAACTTTCTTTATCAGTGGGCAAAATCAGTTAAATTTAATCTTTTTTAGATATAAAGAAATCTTGTGTTAGAGGCAAAAATGGTTTGTTTTATGTTTAATTTTTTTTCAGTGAAAACTGTTCATATATAGCAGTTAGTGCTATTTATTTCAAAATGTGAGGACACACATGCTATCATGTAAAAATAGGTTTGTATCTGACACATTGTATAGATTTGAATGGTTTGAGCTTTGACATTATTACAGATTCTCACCCTCTCTGTCTCCCCTACCTTTTTTCTTGAGCCATTTCCATTAGGAGATTTACTTTCTATCATTTTTTTCATGATAGTGGGAGAAAATCAACAAAGATATTCAGATAACAAATTCTTACAGCTACTTCCTATTTAAAGATGTTTACATTGCATTAAAGCTCATTTACAATTTGGTATTTATTCCTTTGTTTTTGTCAATAAAAAGTCACTATAATTCACTCCATAATGATTAATTTCATGTGATAAGTAATGCTTCATATGCATTTAAATCTATGTTATTAAAGATGAATATAACAGATACAATGTATTGGAGAAGAAAATTAAAATCACCAGGAGATTTTCTTGTAAAGCTCTTCTCACTGCTGCTACAATCTTCCTAAAGTTTATTATTTGGAAGATTTTTAAATAGATTTAGTCTATTTAAAAAATACTCTCAATTTTCAAAATAATAGAAAAGAATCAAAGATGTATCAAAAATAATTATTTCCCATATTCCAAAATTTGACCTTATTCTCTTTACAATACCATCACCAAAGATACCTTTTTAAGAATCAAATAATTCAGAGAAAAGAACACAATGATAGCTTTAACATATTAAAATCTCCAGAATTTTTTTAATAAGATACTTCTTTGATAAGAGGAAAATTCTGCTTAAAAATAATTTTGATAGAAGTGGTGTGTATAAAATATTTATAGTACTCACTGAGCATAATCAAATGGGAAAAATCCTTCTATTCAGTGAGATTATGTTAAGTGATATAAATATATTTATAATGAAACAGCTGTTGCAAGTTCACTAAATGAATAATGCATAAAGTGAACTATGAACCTATTCATCTAGAAGCAAACACAACCTTCCTATTGGACTGGTTAAGTCAAAGCAGGTTGTAGTCTTGTGGACAAGAAACCAAGAAGAGAAGGAAATCGAAAGATGGAGATAAATTCTTTTTAATTTTTTAAATTAAGATGATTATGAAGAACTAAACTTACCTGCATTGATCATAATTTTTGTTAAGTGTTCCATAGAATGTATGATTTTGGTAAGATAATTTGGTATAAAAAATGGTTTCCCACTGTGGGAACTTTGTGCTTTCCAAACAAGAGCTCTCTTTTCTCGACAAGACAAGAAAGGAGTAATGCAGAGAGCAGCCACTTACCCCTGGGAAAACAGCAACAATGACTTGAATCAGATTCACAGACTTTGACTCAAAATAAAAATGCATGTGTTTGAGCTAGAGGCTACTCTTTTTTACATTACAAAAAGACTTCACAGAAAAACTATTAGCTCTAGGGAAAGCATGGTAAATGAATTTCACAAATGGTTTCCAACATAATTATAAGAAGCATTTCCTAATATATTCACCATTAAACCCTATGTGAATCTTAGTTGTTATACACAGATATGATTTTACCCTTAAAAAATTTTTTTAATGCCACCTCTCCTGATGGTGGACATAAGTAATGGAATGAACAAAGAGGAGAGAACTGAGAGAGGAGACCAAAACAAAACAAAACAAAACAAAACAAATCCCTGTATTCTCTTGGTTTCAGTCCCAGTGGATGGAGCTAGTTCCACACTGTTTTGTTCAAAATACCAGTGAAAGTCACACCATTCCTGGTGCTCCAGACACTTCCTGAGATGGGGAAGATCTGTGGATTACTTTGACACAATTTAGTGTACTTATTTGGGGGAGTATAAGTTCCAGGGTGATCTAAACACTCTGAGAGTTTTGTTTTTGTTTTTGAGCTGTAAGTAACCAATATTCCTTGATACTCAATCTCTTGAGCATATTGAATGAACAAATATATAGGTGAATAGGCCCACCTGTGGTGTATAATAGCAGCAATGCCCATCAGAGATGATGATTCCTATATACTGAGAAGCTTTCCTAGGTCATCTTGGGGAGATGACCTTCATAGGAAGGTCACGAAGATTCTCTCCTTCACTGCCTTTAATGTGGAAGCCCTCTGTGAGAGCTTCATGCATGACTTATTTCACTTCCTTTGCACTGTGAGATTCTAGTGGTCTGTTTCCTACAGAGTGTGCTGAAACTATGTGCTGGTCTTAGTTTATGTGCCATTTTGGCCATTGTTGAGAATTCTCAGGTATCTCTTCATGTGATCTTGTAACTTTCTCTAGGGACCTTCTTCCTTCTTGCCTGGGGGTTTCATTAATATTTCTGGTAGGTTGGCCCATAGTTATTATTAGATAATGTGCTACATTGACTCTCTGGGGACCCCATTGTCTCCTTAAGTTTGTATTTCTCAAACAGGGTATGTGATTGTATGCCATGGGATACACAGAGCCCCTAATTAAATATCTTCCTGAAGGGAAGGTTTTACTAAGAGAAGATAATTCTTTATTACACAAAATACGTATGTACTGTGGAACAGAAAGTATAATTTGTGATCATTTTTTAGATAAAACTTTGAGTTTCAAAGAAATATTGTCCCCAAATGCCCCATGTTTTCTGACCACTGTTGCCAAACATTCTTTGTTTTAATTGAGGAGTGAAAGGTTTGAGAAACACTGTGTGAGAGTATTTAATCAACTAGTACCAGCAGGCCTATCTTCCTGGCACACCAAATTTTATTTCCCAAATGGCCATAACTAAAAGGGGGTACTTTCATTTTAAGTACATTGGCCTTTCAGCTAATGGCTTTCCTGTTTCAGAATGGGGTTTGGGCACAAAGATGGAATTTGTTCTTGGTATAATTTTCTCTTAATGCCTTCCTGACTCAGATGTTGCACTATAGCCTTCTGAGAGGCGTAAAAATATGCTTAGGACATTGTTATTCCATATTACAAGTGGAGTTGTCACAACTGATTTGGGGAGTAAGCACTAAGAGTAAAGATGCCCACTTGGGAGAACATGTAGAATGATCATTGTGAAGTGCAGGGCTTAGACAGTGGATCAATAGGAAAGAAGAATGGATTGAGGAGTCTAGTGAATGAGAGCTTTGGCAGGAAGGAGAGTTTGTACTTTATCTCTAAGTGAAAGAAGTATGAAACATATTCTGTTTTTGGTGTGAAAGACAGCTTTAAACAATGGAAAATGTCTGTTACTGGGTGGGCTTTTTGTTGTTGTTGTTGTCGTTGTTGTTGTTGTTAGTGGTGGCCCCTTGGTCCATTGTCTTTAAGAGTATTTTCTGAATTTAGAAGATTGCACCCTCTATTGAAAGGCTCCAGGTACACATATATGTGATTCTTTCCACCAGCTAAGATTAAACCAATGAAGATACATCACAGGGAAAGAAGATATATATAATAACACAATATAATTATCTAGTGAGATAATTTAAAATGTTTTATTGAACATTTTTCATTGATGAGCTGAACTTGAACTGCTAAGTTACCGTGAAAAATAAGTATCTCCCTCTACTTAAGTGTGAGCTGGAACACGACTTTCTGAAGCCATTCTCTATTGTTTTTATAAATAATTAAGGTTAGAAGTGACAAATTCTGCTTCTCTCTCAAACATGTCTCAGTTTGGGTTACTTCTTAATCCTAGGAGTTTCTTTAGGGCATCTTTCATGTCTTTATTTCGAAGACTATAGATAAGGGGGTTTAAGAGTGGAGTCACTGCTGAGTATACCAAAGTGACGATCTTCTGCATTCCTGCTGGATTTCCTGATGTTGGGCTTACATACATCACCATAAGGGTTCCATAGAATAGAGACACCACCATTAGGTGTGACCCACATGTGGAGAAAGCTTTAGTTTGACCAGCACGAGAAGGAATACGAAGCACAGCTCTGAGTACCAGAGTGTAAGATCCCAAGATAGAAAGGAAGGGCCCAAAGATAATCACTGAGTTGAAGGTATAGCAGATAAGTTCAGTCGAAGGAGCAGGGATGCAGGCCAGTGCGAACAATGGGCCTGGGTCACACACGAAGTGGTCAATGATGTTAGGTCCACAGAAGGGAAGTTGGGAGATGAGGACAATGGGGATTGGATAGCAGAGAAATCCACTCACCCAGCAAACGCAGACCAGGATCACACAGAGCTTCCCAGTCATGATGGAAGGGTAATGTAGTGGGCGACAGATGGCAAGGTACCGGTCATAAGCCATAACTGATAAGAAGAAACACTCTGTTGTACCCAGTGAGAAAAAGAAGTAAAATTGGAGGAAGCATCCAGTGAAGGAGATGGTCTTGGTCTCAGAGAGGATGGTGACCAGCATGTTTGGGACAGTGGAGGAGATGTACCAGATCTCTAGGAAGGCAAAGTTTCCCAAGAGGATGTACATGGGTGTGTGAAGCCGCTTGTCCCATTTCACTACATAGACAATAACCCCATTCCCCAGCAGAGTGAGGAGATAGACCACAAGGATTAATGAGAAGAAAAAGTTCTGCATCTCCCTTTGACCAGGAAAACCCAGGAGGACAAACTCAGTCACAAAATGCATTGTTGCGTTCTGAGATTCCAAAGCTGTTAGAGAAACAGAAGTAACCAAGGAGTGAATAACAATGAACATTTGTGGGTTTTGCTAACAATTCACTTGTAAATGTACAAAGTATTTTTACATAAATTATCTCATTTGATCTTCCAAA